CCCTTCTGGTTCTGGAGGCGCTGCGCGGCCGAGGCCGTACTTCGTTCCGCTCCTTGAGCAGGTTCTTGGTCTCCCGCCCTCTACTGGTCCTGCTTCTCCCTTAGAGTGTCCACAGCCTGTCCAGTCGCAGTCACAGTTACAGCCCGCCTCCCCCCTACCTGCTCCTTCTCCCTACACTGGTCCTACTGGAGGTCTTGCTGAGCGTCGTGAGCCTGCGTCTCGTCCTGCGTCGCCTGTTCGTGGTGCTCGCACTAGTGGTCGTGCTCCGCGTCCGCGTCCTCCTGCGGTCCCTGGCACACACCACATGGCACTGCATCCTTCCACTGCTCCTCTGCGTGTCCCGTTGCCGTCTCCTCCAGAGTCCTCTCTTCCTACTCTTGCTGACCCGGAGTCTGACTCTCTTCGTGCTGCCAGTCCTACTGTCACGCGTCTCCTGGCTACTGTTGTCACTGACCCTTCTTTTGAGTCCACTGCTGCGTCTACCTTAGTTGCTGAGCTTGTCGACTTTGCTGCTCGCTGTCGTCTAGACTACGCTGCTAGTCTTATTGCTGAGTCTGAGTCTGTCTGTCCTCCGTCCGTCGGGGGTGAGTGTGCTCTTAGCACGGACGTCCTTGAGGACAGGCAGGAGGAGTTCCAGTGTTTTGCTGCTGCTTTGCCTCATCTCGTGTCCACGCTGATTGCCCCTGAGGGAGACCCGGATGCACCAGACATCCCGACTCCTCGATCGTACGCTGAGGCGATCGAGGGTCCCTACTCCTCTCAGTGGCAATCAGCCATGGACGCAGAGATGGCTTCCTGGAAGTCCACAAGCACCTACGTTGACGAGGTTCCCCCACCTGGGGCGAACATCGTCAGTGGCATGTGGATTTTCAGGGTGAAGCGGCCGCCGGGTTCTCCGCCTGTCTTCAAGGCGCGTTACGTGGCTCGAGGCTTCAGTCAGCGGCAGGGAGTTGACTACTTTCAGACCTTCTCTCCCACCCCGAAGATGACCACTCTTCGGGTGCTGCTGCACATAGCCGCTCAGCGCGACTACGAGCTTCACTCTCTTGACTTCAGCACAGCTTTCCTGCAGGGCAGCCTGCACGAGGAGATCTGGCTGCGCCGCCCACCTGGCTTCTCTGGGTCGTTTCCTCCTGGTACCCAGTGGAGCCTCCGGCGGCCAGTCTACGGTCTCCGCCAGGCACCCCGTGAGTGGCACGACACACTGAGGACTACACTTGCGGCTCTTGGGTTTGCTCCGTCTACTGCCGACCCATCGCTGTTTCTGCGCACCGACACCTCTTTGGCGCCGTTCTACATCCTCGTGTACGTCGACGACTTGGTCTTTGCCACTGCTGACACTGCTGGACTCGCCCACGTGAAGTCCGAGCTGCAGAAGAGACACACGTGCACAGACCTGGGTGAACTGCGCAGCTACCTTGGCTTGCAGATCACCCGGGACAGAGCACAGCGCACCATTACCCTGACTCAGTCACACATGGTGCAGCAGGTCCTTCAGCGCTTCGACTTCACGTACTCCTCGCCTCAGGCCACTCCTCTGTCTACTCGCCACTCGCTCTCAGCTCTGCCTTCAGATGAGTCCGTAGAGCCGAGTGGCCCGTACCCAGAGCTTGTTGGCTGCCTCATGTACCTGATGACCTGCACACGACATGACCTTGCATACCCTCTTAGCATCTTGGCACGCTATGTTGCTCCTGGGAGACACCGACCAGAGCACATGGCTGCAGCGAAGAGGGTGTTGCGCTACTTGTGCAGTACGTCGGGCATGGGGCTAGTGCTTGGAGGGCGACGTCGAGTGGTCCTCACAGGTCACGCAGACGCTTCTTGGGCTGACGACCAGGCTACGCAGCGGTCGTCACAGGGTTACACCTTCAGCCTTGGCTCCGGCTCTGTTTCGTGGCGGTCTACCCGCTCGTCTTCTGTTCTCGGCTCCAGCTGTGAGGCTGAGATCTACGCGGGGGCCATGGCTGCACAGGAGCTACGCTGGCTCACCTACCTGCTGACTGACCCAGGAGAGCCGCCTCGTTCTCCTCCAGTTCTGTACGTAGACAACAAGGCCATGCTGGCCTTGTGTCGGGAGCACAGACTGGAGCACAGAACGAAGCACATTGCTCTCCGCTACTTCCTTGCTCGTGAGCTGCAGCAGCGTGGTCAGCTGCGCCTTGCTTACGTGGCCTCTGAGGCCAACACTGCTGATATCTTTACCAAGGCACTTCCGCCTGGTGATCATCAGCGCTTTTGTACTATGCTAGGTCTTGTGCCTACTTGGCCTCACTTGCTCACTTCTTGACCTTGCTTGTACTGTGATCTTTCTATACCTGCACTTGCCTGTTTACCTTTATATATGATCTTGCATGTGAACTGGCCTTGTGGCCTTGCTCTTGTGCTCGGATTGTGTGGTGACGTTGTGATCCACCCTGAGCTTGCTTTACTTTGCTTGACTGGTCTTGTGACCTCTTGTTCTCCCCCACTTTGCCTATGGGGGTGTGTCAAACATATATGCTATGGTCTATCTAGGCTGTAGTGGGGTAGACACTATAGGGTACAACATTTCTAGGTTTCCTACTTGTACCCACATTCTGCCTAGTCAACTCATTCCTCATTCTTCACAACAGCAACTGGCGCCAGCCTGCGATGGAGTTCAGCCTGCCTTTCTGAGCCTCCGGGTCTCTGGTGCTTATAGGATCAGTGATGGTGACGTCACAAATGTAAACCGCCCCGCTGCTCCTGTCCGACATTGTGAAATCAGCCGTTTGCTCTTCGATGGGGCAGTAGGCGGTGGACTCCCGGTGAAATATAAAGCCCGCATCCTGCGCCATACTAACGCAAGCGTCCCGCAGCTCATTGTGAGTGTTTATGCGGTGCTTGCCCGTGCCGCAGCGAAGCAGGTGATTTGGGAGGCGGGGGTCAGTGATGGCCGTGTGCTCCGAGCAGTCACAGTTTTTGGGGGTTGAGAATGGCAACGCGAGTCGGAAGCATACTGCGTTAGCGAAGTGTACCGGCCCAATCCGTCTCGTGGGAGCGACTGGGATCGCCGTGATCCAGTCGCCGGTGCCATAGCCAGTCAGGGAATACATCCGTTGCGTGTGTCCCGCGAGTGGATTCAGCCGCATGCGCCTCGTCGCCTGTACCTGCACGGCATATCTACTCCCATGCACCTTCAGTCCGAGCACGTGCTAGAGCCGGATGTCAGATCGTTCCAGCCGCTCCTTTTCTAATATCTCCCGTGCATCTGACGGTAGCGCCTCCTCACACTCCGTCAGCCAAGCGTGCAATGGCGTGGTGCTGTCCCGCGGCAAGAGCATGTGATTCCGTGCAATAGTCAGTGCGTTCTCGTCTCCTAGCGGGAGTTCGTTAAGGAGGAGCACCGCCTGGGTGAAGCTCGCCGTGAAGTCGTAAATCCCCTCAATGAGGGGGTCCGTGACGCCCAGGCCTCCTAGTGACGGCAGTAACGACGCTTGCTCCCAGACCCGTGTTTGCTCAGTTCTGCATGTTGGCAGGCGGATATCGCAAGAGGTAAGGAGTGTGGTGAGCAGGTCCATACCCCACTGGCTCCATCTATCTCGGGGGAGGAGGTGCAGGGGCGTTGTCCTTGTGAGGTATGCAACACGCCTCGAGATACATCGCGTAATGAGCAGTGCCGCCACCTGCGGATCCGCTCGTTCTAGAAGTGTCAGCGGCTTCGCCATCTCTTCGAGCTTCTTTGCTAGGAATGTCGAGGCGCCGCTATCAGGCCCGACGAAACTTCCTAGTAGCCGTATGTCGTCCTTTGAGAATGGAATTCCTGGAGGGAGGGTGGCTGTCTCCGGCGCACTCGAACTCCATGCAGCGCATTTCTGAGGGTTGTGCTCGAGGCCCAAATGTGCCAACTTGGTCGTGAAGTGAGTGAAAGCTGCTACAGTGTGCCCCGCGTCACCCAGAAAAGTCACGTCGTCCGCACACGCCAAACAGAGCACGTCGGGGTGGGCGTCTGCGGTTTCACGAAGTGTGGCATGTATCTCTGCCGCGAACAGTAATGGGCCTAGTGGGTCTCCCTGGTGGACTCCGCGTTCACTTCGCAGTGGGTCGGTGTTGAAATTGACATCCAGGAGCAGCTGCGACGGGTTACCGTATGTTAATTTCACTAGCGGGAGTAGTGGCGAGAGGGCGGGGGCTTGTAACGCAGTGGCAATGGCTTTTCGCGAAATGCTGTTGAACGCGTTCGAGATGTCCGCTTGCAGAACCAGGCTGGTGGGGCGGGCGTCCAGGAAGGCTCTAGCCGCGTGGATTACTGCCTCGGATCCACCTGGCACTGCCACCCCGTACTGTAGTGGCAGAAAAAATTCGCGCGCAGCTTCTCCCGTGGCTGACAGGGCTGCCTTGGCAGCCAGCCTCGTCAGGCATTCGCCGATTGCGATTGGCCGGGCACCTCCCCCAGGTTTGGCCAAGGCGATGAGACGTGACGCGGTGAGGAGGTTTGCCACCGAATCTGGCAAATTTCCACCCAGAATGGTGTTGACCAAGGCGTGCAGATGGGTGCTGACCAGTGCGTTGGTGATGGCCGCGTCGCGCAGATGCTCAAAAGTTATCCTCGAAGGCCCGGCTCCAACTCCATTCTCGCATCTGCCCAGCATTTTGGCAAAGTCCGCGTGGGCGATTGAAAGTGTTGACTCCTGCACCGTGGGCCAAGGCACCTCCTCGTGTGCAGCAGGGGGGTGTTTTTGGCGCAGCTCTTCCAGGATTTCGGGGCTGGGAGTGCAGACGGGCGTTGACTCCAGGGCGAGGAAGGCTCGTCGCAGGCTGCCACGTTTCGCTAGACCCTCAGCTCGGTTGATCACCCCGGTCGCATCTGGCTGGTGTCGTGGCGGTGGTGGCGTGTTGACTGCATCAACTGCGTCCAGGTACAATTGCTCCCATTCGCCACGCTGGAAGGCTCGGAGCTGGGCTTTGATTTTCGGCCAGTCCGGTAGAGGGGTCCCCGTTCTCGTGGCGGGGGTGGGGGGTATCGTCCGCCTGTGACGATGGCGGATCTTCAGCCGGAAGTGTCGAGGGCGGTTCGAGAGGAGAGGGCGGTGCAGAGCCAGAGCAGTTCGTTGCACGCCACGCCAGCCCTCGAGGCTCCTCGTCCGGCCGCGCTCCCCACGAACCCGCAGCCTGTTGATGCACCTCCTCCTCAAATCCTTGCGCCGCCAGCTCCTTCTCATGCTGTCTCGGCAGGAGCTCCCGGCTCTCGTCTTCATCTGCCGCCGGTTCCGCCCGTTGCGGGAGTGGAGTTTGTGGCCGCGGGTGGTGGCGCGGCGGCGGCTCCGAATGCTCTTCAAGTTGCTGCTGAAGAGCCGCTCCAGTTCCTGGCGGAGGCTCTCCAGCCTCTGCAGACCCGCGTTCCCGAGGCGACTCTCGGACAGCTCCACCGCCTCGCTGACAGTCTCCACGCGCTGCTGCTGATTCAGGTGCTGGCCCACTCGTCTCCCTGTGATCCCTCCCGAGACCTTCCGTGGCCGCCAGCGTGACACGTGCCTGGACGCGACGGACCAGCTCGCAGTGCTGCTGGCGCCCGTGCTGGCTGCACCCGCGGAGGGTGGCGCTGCTGCTGCGGGACAGCTTGACGAGGCTGTCCGTGGCTTGAGGCGGCACTTGCACGCAGGATCTGGAGCCGCAGCGATCGGCGCAAGCACGCTTGTGGTCCGGGAGCTGTGGTGCTCCCTGACAGGCGTTCTTCACGCCCTTGGAGCTCACCGCATGTAGGCGCGGGCTCCGGTTGCCCCATGATTACTTTCCTTCAGCTAGTTTGCCGTAGGACATGCCATGCGTGTAATGCTTTCTAATATAAGCAACTGTGTGTCGTATGACTTGCCGTCCCCTCACGCGCGGCCGAAGGCCGCGCCGTCGAGCGTCGGCCGCCGAAGGCGGCCGGCGCGAGCGAAAAAAATCAGCCGCCAACTGAATAATGAGGAAAGGGAGGCTGAGAGGGCCCCTTAAATATCTAGGCAACCGAGGGCAGAGGCTAAGGGCAGAGGGCAGAGGCTATTCCTCTCTCTCTCTCTCTCGCTCTCTCGAACGGGCGAAAAAATTCAGCCGCCAACTGAATAATGAGGAAAGGGAGGCTGAGAGGGCCCCTTAAATATCTAGGCAACCGAGGGCAGAGGCTATTCCTCTCTCTCTCTCTCTCGCTCTCTCGAACGGGCGAAAAATTTCAGCCGCCAACTGAATAATGAGGAAAGGGAGGCTGAGAGGGCCCCTTAAATATCTAGGCAACCGAGGGCAGAGGCTAAGGGCAGAGGGCAGAGGCTATTCCTCTCTCTCTCTCTCTCGCTCTCTCGAACGGGCGAAAAATTTCAGCCGCCAACTGAATAATGAGGAAAGGGAGGCTGAGAGGGCCCCTTAAATATCTAGGCAACCGAGGGCAGAGGCTAAGGGCAGAGGGCAGAGGCTATTCCTCTCTCTCTCTCTTCCTCTCTCTCTCTCTCTCTCTCTCTCTCTCTCTCTCTCTCTCTCTCTCTCTCTCAAATGGTCCGTTGTATTGATAATAAGGGCAGGTACAGACATGCAGATTCTAGGGATGGTTTCCAGATAGCACAAAGACAAGCAAGAAAACACATCCCCCCCTATTCTTTCCCCCCCCCCCCCCCCCTACCCCAGCCCCGTTCCCATTAAGGTGTCTCTAGTGTCGTGAAGCAGTCACCGGGGTTCATCTCCCCCTCTGGTCCCCCCAGTGGGGGGTGCTCTGCTCGTGCTGCCAGGTTCAGCTTTGTGAGAAAGCTCACTGCCTGAGCTCTCTGGAGGGCAATAGACCAGCGCTGGCGGAACTGATGGAGCATCTTCGCGGCCTGATAGGTAGATGGGTCCGCATTGAAGAATTTCCGTGCAACTTTATCCGCCAGTAGCTTCAGGAAGGTGGGCACCTCGTCGCAGGGGCAGCCGTAGGTTTCTACTGCCAATGGGACAAACCCAGCATACTCTGCCCTGCCAAGGTATAGGCCTATCTTTTTATCTGCTGCCTCCCGTGCTGCCCAACCCCTCCCCTTCCTTGCAATTTCGTCCCGTTTGCTGATCGGATCTGTGATTGTGATATCAGCCAGCCACACTGCCCCCGAGCTCCCATCCCTGAAGGCCAAGTCGGCCTTCTTGTTGTCCACCGGGCTGAAGGCAGTGCACTCCTTGTGCACATCAAATCCTGCATCCTGCGCCATATGAATGCACTCATCCCGTAGCTCATCGTGAGTGTTGGTCCAGCCGTGCCCAGTACCGCACCGCAGCAAGTGATTCGGCAGCCTCTTATCTAGAATGGGGACTCGTTTGCTGCAGTCACAGCAGCCACGCACAGAGAGCGGCATGCCGAGCCGGAACTGTAGGGCAAACGTGAAGTGGCAGGGGTATAACCGCAGGGCTGGCATGTAGGGGATTGCCATGAGCCAGTCCCCCGCCCCATAGCCCGTGAGGGACATGAGGCGCTGGGTGTGGCCTAGCAGGGGGGTTCAGCTCCATCTGCCTGGATGCCGTAATCTGGGCTGCACTCCGGCCCCCTTGGACTAGGAGAGCGAGGTGGTGCTGCAGCTGGCCCTTGGGTTTTGCCTGCTCCGCCAGGATGAGGTCCCTTGCCTCCTGCGTGAGGCTGTCCCTGCAGTCCCCGATCCACCTCTGCAGCTCGTTGGGGCTGTGGTCGGCTGCTGCGGGGGTGTCTAATGCCGCTGTCAAAGTGGCCCCTGCCTGCCCCTCTAGCTGACCGAGGAGTGTGTGTGCCTGCACAAAGCTTGCCAGAAAATTGTACCGGCCCTCTACCGCTGGGTTGGCGAGGCCCAGGCCGCCTAGGCTTGGTGGGAGTGAGGCGGGTGTCAGTGATAGCCGTGTGATCGGCGTAGTCACAGTTTTTTGGAGTTGAAAACGGCAACCCTAGTCGGAAACGCACAGCGTTGGCGAAGTGTACTGGACCTATCCGCCGTGTGGGTTCAATGGGGACTGCAGTGAGCCAGTCGCCGGTGCCATAACCCGTCAAAGAGAACATCCGCTGCGTATGACCCTTGAGCGGATTCGGCTGCATACGCCTTGTCGCCTGGACCTGCACGGCGTATCTGCTTCCGTGGACCTTAAGTCCGAGCACGTGCTGAAGCCTCACGTCGGACCGTTCGAGCCGCTCCTTCGAACGAGAGGCAGGGCCGTTTCGCACTCTGTGAGCCAAGTGTGTAAAGGCGTGCTGGTGTCCCGCGGCAGTAGCATGTGATTCTGCGCTTGTGCCAAGGCGTTCCGTTTGTCTAGCGTGAGGGAGGAGAGGAACAGCGCCGCCTGTGTGAAACTCGCCGAGAAACCGTATATCCCCTCTATCAGGGGGTCGGTAATGCCTATGCCTCCTAGCGGTGGCGGCAGCGACGCTTGATCCCAGACTCGCGCTTGCTCGGCCCTACACGTGGGGACGCGTATGTCGCACGATGTGAGCAGGGTGGTGAGAAGGTCCCTTCCTCACTGGCTCCATTTTTTGCGGGGGAGAAAATGCAAGGGCGTCGTCCTAGTGAGGTAAGCTACCCGTCTAGAGATACACCGCGTGATGAGCAGTGCCGCTACTTGTGGGTCAGTCCGTTCGATAAGGGGTAACGGCTTCGCCATCTCGTCGAGTTGACCCGCTAGATACTTAGCTGCTCCACTATTCGGCCCCAGGAAACTACCCAGGAGCCTCACGCCGTCCTTTGAAAAAGGCACTCCATGCGGGAGATGGGCTTGCTCGACTGCACTTGATCGCCAGGCTGCGCACTTCTGCGGATTGTGCGTAAGGCCCACTTGTGCCAGCTTGTTAGTGAAAGTGTTGAAAGCTGCTACAGTGTGGGCCGTGTCACCCAGAAAGTGACGTCGTCCGCATACGCCAAGCAAAGCACGTCGGGGTGTGCTTCTACAACTTTGCGGAGGGTGGTGCGTATCCCCGCTGCAAACAGAAGTGGGCCAAGGGGGTCACCTTGGCGAATACCACGTTCACTTGTCAGCGGTTCGGAGTTGAAGTTGGCGTCCAAGAGTAGTTGCGACAGGTTACCGTATGTGAGTTTCACTAGCGGCAGCAGTGGCGATAGGGCGGGCTCATGTAACGCGGTGGCGATGGCTTCACGCGAAATGCTGTTGAACGCGTTCGAAATGTCAGCCTGTAGGACCAGGCTTTCCGAGCAGGCATCCAAGTATGCCTTGGCTGCGTGGATTACTCCTTCTGCACCACCCGGCACTGCCACCCCGAACTGTAGCGGTAGAAAGAATTCGCGGGCCGCCTCTCCCTTGGCCTGTAGGGCAGCCTTGGCTGCCAGCCTCGTCAGACATTCGCCGATCACGATTGGCCTAGCCCCTCCCCCCGGCTTGGCGAGGGCTATGAGTCGTGACGCAGTCAGAAGGTTCGTGACCGAGCCTGGCAATTTTCCTCCTAGGATGGTGTTAACCAAGGCGTGCAGATGGGTGCTGACCATTGCATTGGTAATTGCCGCGTCGCGTAGGTGCTCGAATGTCATGCCTGTCGGTCCGGCTCCCACCCTATTTTCGCATCTTCCCAAAATTTTGGCAAAGTTGGGGTAGGGGATTGACAGCTTTGACCTTTGTGGCGCGGGCCATGTCACCGCCTCGTGTTCGGCAGGGGGGTGCTTTTGGCGCAACTCCTCCAATATTTCCGGGCTGGGAGTGCAAACTGGCGTTGACTCCAGGGCCAGCACGGCCCGGCGCAGACTGCCACGTTTCGCCAGGCCCTCCGCACGACTGATGACTCCTGTCTTGTCTGGCTGGTGTCGTGGCGGTGGCGGTGAGTTGATTGCGTCCAACGCGTCCCAGTACAACTGCTCCCATTCGCCACGCTGGAAAGCCCACAGCCGGGCTTTGACGCGTGGCCAGTTCGGTCGCTGCGGCGAGGTCTGGCGAAGTGTTAGACGCGGGAGAAAGAGCAGCAGGTGCCAGGCTGTTTCTGACTCTCGGTTTCGCGATAGGTGCAGTAACGGTGTCAGGAGTGCTAGCGAAAACAGCTGGCACAGATTTGGCAGTAAACGCCGCGACAGTGAAGGCCGACGACTGTCGCAAAGAGTTGCGGTGTCCCAATTCACGATGGCAGCGAACAGGTCTGTCCGCTTCGCTAATTCGTCTGGTGAAAAGTAGCGGGGAATTGGTGTTGAAGGGCGTGTCGCACTACCAGTAGCGGTGGTTCGATTTCGCCCAGCGCGGCTCGGCCTTGCTGGTGGGCTCAAGGTTGAAATTGCAGTCGTCCGATCTGCATCGGACGGAGCCTGAGCCATCTGTGGTACTTGCAAAGATGTCTGCCCTAACGCCGCGTCCCTTCTCCCTGGTCTCTCCCTCGCCCTGCCTTCCTCTTCCGTCTCTTCATCCTCGCTCGCAGGGAGGGGTTCTTCCCTATATGTAGCGTCGTTAAACTCGTCGTCCTCATTAGTTGCTTCCAAGTCATTTAAAGCCCTTCTCGCCGCTCCCTGGTACCCGTTCTCCGGTCCTCCGCCTGTCCCGCTTACAGCTTGTCTCCTAGTCCCGCGGCCTTCCCGTTCCTGAGATGGTGATTGCTGGTGCGCCTGAGTCGTCGCCAGAGCTCGCTGCCGCCTGGTCGGTTGCGGCCGCCAAGCCTCTGGCGGAGCCCAAAAGGGTGACCATGCGATGAAGCCAGCTCTACCGCCGGCTCCGAAACCCTCGACAACAGCCTCTGAAAGGACTCCTCCCCACGTACTCGCGGATCCCCTTGCCGCGTCGGGGGGTGGCCCGTCTGCCCCCGCTGCTGTTCCGTCTGCTCC